ATTGCAAACGGCCGATATAGGCCTGAACCATTCACTCGTCTACTGCCTTGACACCACCAACAGCAGCAATGCTGAACCCCCCTCCCCCTCCCAAACCCTAAACCCTACGAGCTCCCCACCCCCCAAAAAAAGAAAAAACACATCTCACGCCTCAGCTTGAGAAGTCCAAGGAGCAGTTCATCCTCAGCCTTTCCAACCTCCACCCTACAGCACAAAGCCGGAGTTGCAAATCTTGGGCCTCAACACCTTAAACTCCGACAGTAGTATAGGCGCCCGAATAGGTACCGATACGATTTTCTCATGGCTTCAGAATACAAGCATAATAGTATAATCTCTCAACCCTGAAAGACCCGCACAAATCCCTGCAACAAATCAAAAAGTGCCACGAAACGGCCCAACAAGGATTGGCAAGACCCCTACATTTCCTCAATTTTCTTCATTGGACACCTTGGGGGACAGGCCGGCAGACTTACTAACGGAAATGATAGTAATCGCAATACCAGTAGGTAGATAATAGCCGTTAAAGCAATAGTGGTATAAGTTATCATAATCATAAGCCGATGGCAACATCTCTTCCGCCGATGCTTGAACCACCCTCGCCCTGCAGCCCCGCCCTCTGATATCAAAACGCCTTACGCCCCGTACTGTAAAACCTGCTTGCAGTCCCTAGACCCTAAACCCTACACTCTAAACCCTATAGACCCTAAACCCTAAGCCCTATGTTCCTACCGTTGTTGCAACCTGCACCGAACCCTCGGCCCTCATTGTAGTAGCTGAGGTTGACGGCTTTGACGTCGTTGGCGTAAGATCACCTCACTTAACACTGAAAGTCTAAGCGTTTTGGGGCCTGAGAACTGAACAACTCCAGCATAATTGTGGTTATAGGAGTGCCACAGATTAGTGTGAGTAATTAGCAGTTAGCTATTCAAGCCTTGATACTTGGCCCCTGACCCTACCAAGCCCTAAATTCAAAACCTAAACCCGGTACCCTAAACCATCGTAAACTAGGCTTTAGGGTTTAGGGGTTTAGGATTTAGGGTAAAACCATCCTCAACCCTAACCCTCGAGCCCAGCCGAAGGCGCCGAGACCGCAGTCGTAGCCGTTCTGGACGGCGACGCCGGCGCCGTGACAGCCGCTCTTGAGGGGCCTTGGTAGGAGCTTAGCGGCCTCTTTTAGAGCGGGGCCTGTAGAAACAGAGAGTCCGAAGAAGGAGTAGATAAACGAGCACTTTGGGTAGTTATCCCAAATTCATATATGCTCGTAATTCGGGGAATCAGATGAGCTACACATCATGCAAATCCGTGGGTTAGGAGAAGGGTTTGTGGCTTAGGAAGCTGATCTTTAAGGCAAATGCCTGTAATATAGGGGCCTCAATAATTAAAATAGGGTTTGGGGGCCCACTATGCTATAATTATAATAATAAGGAACCCCCCAAAAAACAGTGTCGGAAGGCGCCTGCGGGTCCGAGTTTGCAGTCTGACCCTTTACTTGGCTGTCCCTGCCTTGATCTCCCAAAATACGATCACAAAGCCCTATAGACCCGAGAACCCTAAGCTCTGACACCCGGAACCTCGAGCCTCAAAGCCTAAGCCGAAATACCAGCCCTCACGGATTACAAGGTGCCTCGTCCCTCGGACCTGTGGGGGATTTCCCCCCCCCCAAAAAAAAGAAAATAAGCAGGCAAGATCCCTGAATAATGTGCGAGCGAGACAGAAAAGGAATGGGATCCCGCTGCGGTTTGAGGTAAGCGTGCAAGGCTGTTCGTCCCGTCGCGAGGAGGGCTAGCATACCTGCGGCACGCCTACAGGGAAGCCGAAAAGAATGAAGCCCTGAAGCCCAACGATCCTCCAACAACCCTGAACCCTAAACCCTTCTCCCGAAACTTAACCGCGAAATTCAGAAAGCATCTCTGACGTAATACAGCGGTCTGATCAAGTGCCAGTATGTCTTCCTGATTTTCTATAAATTAGCCTACTTACATCTACTTACACTATGATACACCCCCAAGGCCTGTTCGAATATTCAGACCGTCCTATGCTAGTAGGCTATTGTCACTTAGACCCTATATAAGTAAGCCATATCGTGTCGATTTGGCAGCAGACTATTGTTCATGTCTGAGGTCTCGGTCAATGTTAACTACTAGTAATCTCCCTTAACTATACTACAATGCACCACCCCACACCCTATTTCAATGACTAGTTGGCCCGATAATATACGGTAGGTTGCTGTTCCGAAGATCCTATTTAAGCCACATAGTAGCTATATTGCAGTAACATACTAACCCTTAGCCCCAACATAAAAGTTGTCAAGTCCTGAGAGAGGGATAAGGCTAAGGTCTTTGGGGAAACAGCTTGGCCTCATTGAGATTCTCTATGCTGTACTCAGTGTGGAAACGGTTTAGAGTTTAGGGTTTAGAGTTTATAGGGTTAGGGTCTATCAACACCAAACCTAAACTTTGCCTGGGCGGATTGCCAACCTAGCGACACCGATCTTGAGATTCTGTTTGGTAAGAGAGCACAGAACCAGCGGCAATCCGGACTTCGTGTGAAGTACGTAATCCTTCGAGATCCTGTAAGGGTTGCTTTCAGGGTCCCTTTAAGGGATCTATTGGGGATCCTTGAAGGGTTCCGTTTAAGGGATCTCTAAGGTTCTTATATGGGGCTCCTTTACGTCTTGGTTCTATGCTACAGGATTTATGTTTTTTGGGGATCCCGCGTTGGAGTTTGGGGTTTTGGTGAGTGTAGAAGGGGCGCAACGACACGCCTTTGTCATCTAGCGGAATGCTGAACATGCGGTGATTGGTGGCGCTTCAGCCAAACTAAGCAAGCAAGTGCATGCACACCCGTAGTCTGGACTTTGGCCCTAAGGTAACAGGACCCCTTATAAAGTCCCTAAAGGACCCCTTATAGAGCCCCCAATAGGACCCCTTATAGAGCCCCTAATAGGACCCCTTACAGAGCCCCGAAGAGGACCCCTATAAGGCCCTATAAGTCCTCAATCCTGAGCTTTCTGCTCCTGTGACCTTGTGCTCCTCAAGGCCCGGGTGGTTAGCGCAGCTTCAAGGTTCAGCTGTGAGGGGCTCAGCGGTCTAACAGGGTTTATAGTGCTTATAGGGTTTATAGGGTTTTGGGTTTATAGGGCTTAGTTTAGGGTTTAGTTTAGGGTTTAGTTTAGGGTTTATGGGTTTAGGTCTTCAATGCCAGATTTCGACTGTTGGACTGAAGGTTTGGCGTTCTCCCAGGAATACAGCACCTCCGTCGTTGCAGAGAGGGCCCCTGGTAATGGATAGGAAAGCCTCGATGTTCCCCTAAACCCCTAAACCCTTAAACCCTAAACCCCTAAACCCTTAAACCCCCCAAAACAATAAACCCCAAAACTCTAAACCCCTACACCCTAAACCCCCAAAAACCCTAAACCCCCAAACCCCCAAACCCCAACCCCTAAACCCAGAGCAGGCTGTCCAGGAGTAGTTGCGGCCTTCGGCTTGGAGGCTTTTGCCCGTGGTTGCAGTGTTTCGGTTTAGGGTTGAGGGTTTAGGGTTTAGGGTTTAGGGTTTCGGTTTGACAGGCCACTGTGTGTTGGAGCTTTAGGGCTTCTGGGTTTAAGGTTTTTGCCTAGACCCTAAACCCCGAAACCCTAAACCCTATAAGCCCCAAGCCCTAAACACCAACCCCTAAACCCCTAAACCCCTAAACCCTAAACCCCAAACCCCTAAACTCCAAGCCCTAAAACAGGTTGAAAGTAGTTTGGTTCAGGCGTTAGAGTCGAGGCCTGGATCCGACATCCCCCAGGGAGTTAGGTACCTGAGAACCACCAGACTGAGCCCAGCAAGCAATGAGTAGAATTAATGTTGGTTTTTGTTATGATGATGATGATAATAATAATAATACAACCTATTTTTATTATTGTTCTTGTTATTTTTGTTGTGATGATGATGATTATTATTATTATTCTAGTTATTACGAAGAAGAATGCAGATTATTGGTATCCCAAGGTTCTTGGGGCCTATAGCTGTCTCAAGCTCACTTCCCAGCTTCTTGTTTGGGGCTTGGTGCTGGGGCTGGAGAACCCTGGCCCCTAAACCCTACCCTAAACTTCAAGAGACCTATGCATCTTCCGTGGAGGTCTCTTGAGTTCTTGGTTTAGGGTTTTGGGCCCATTGGCTGAACTTTTGGATTTACCTGTTTAGATGCCCCAGAGTACCAGGGTCGTCGCAACGATTGTGTTCGATCTGGGGGGGGGGGCAATTTACCACGATTATTGGGAGAGGAGCGGAGAGGCGCGAACACGAAGATGTGCAGTGCCTTCCCTTGTTAAACCTAAACCCGTCACCCCCAAGCCTCCCTAAAGCAAGACAATCTCACTACAGTAGTCTACCAAGGCCCTAGAGCCCCGACACCTTCAACACTGGGGTCCCAATAATACTAAGACTCCTGCAAGACGCTGCTGAACCAGAACAACCCACCTTGTCAAGTACAAGGACCAATGGAAGTCATTGGTATCATGGCAAGGGGTTCTAGAAATCTAGGGTTTTCTAGGGCCTATAGGGTTTAGGGTTTAGGGCTCAGGCTTTTTTTGCTAGGGCCCAGGTTCTGGAGCCCTAGGGAGATCTGGCAAGGCTTTTCGGCTCAACGGCTTTGAAGTGCGAGCGCGAACATGATGGGACGCCAATGCACAGCATGGACTACTTGGAGGTTCATGGGTAGTTGTAAGTGGGGGGTATATAATTCCCTTATAAGATCGATGATAGATATAGCTACCGTACTTATACGCCACTTATATCTACACATGCCCAGGGCAGGAAAGTTAGGCTTGGGGTTATGTGTTTGCATGGGCCTATACTCAGAGCAGTGCAGGGTATAGTTATACCCTTAAAGAACCCTTAGAAACCCCTTACTACCGAGCCCTTATGGATCCCTTATAAAAAGCCCTTTATGGATCCCTTAAAGAACCCTTAGCCTGGCATAAGCAAGCTGCCTAGAGTCACCGAAGCCCATCGATGTCGGTGATCCTCCTGGCCGTTTATCTGCCATGCGTCTGTGCTTTTGGAACGTCAAAGCCACTTATCAACGTCGTCTGGTTTAAGTGCACGGATCTACGGACGCATGACCATGCCGCTCTAAAGGCGGCCCATTCAGACAAGCTGCCAGTGTTGCATCTCTACGTTTTCGATCCTTTTTGGTACGAGGGCAAGACGCGTCTGTGCGGCTTCCCAAAAACTGGAGTCTTGAGAACTCGATTTCAATTAGAGGCTGTGGAGGACCTTGCCAACAGGCTGGAAGCTAGAGGCCATCGACTCAACGTGCGCACGAACGTATCCACCGCTGAGTGTTTCAGAGAGCTTTGCAAAGACTATTCTATCAATGCGGTCTTCGCCTTCCATGAAGTTTGCAGCGAAGAGCTTCGCATTCAGCGAGAGGTTCAGCATGTGCTGCATCAGAATGGGCCAAGTCCTCTGCGACTTTACTGGGGCTATGAGTTGCTTCACCCTGAGGACCCTAAACCCTAAAGCGCCTAAACCCTAAACCCTAAACCCCTAAACCCCTAAACCCTAAACCCTAAAACCCTAAACCCTAAACCCCTTTATAAACCCGAAACCCTAAACCTGGGGCTATGAGATTGCTTCACCCGGAGGACCTCCCCTTCGATACAACCGACCGAGGGGCCTTCAAGGACGAGCCTCCCCCCCAACAAAAAACCTGCACCCCCAAACACGGTTTAGGGTTTTGGGGTTTTAGGGTTTTAGGGTTTAGGGTTTTAGGGTTTTTGGGGTTTTAGGGTTTAGGGTTTAGGGGCACCCTAAATCCCTATAAGCGCTAAACCCTGCAAGACCTAAAGCTTAAAACCTATTGAGGCCCCAGTATATAATTTTTAGCACTGTCCCTGAACTCAGGATTCCCCGCATGATAGAAGTATCCACATTACTATATTTCGGGGGTCTAGGGTTTAGGTGAACCGAATATCACCTGCCTTTTCCAGGGCTCCTTGTTGTGATTTCCTTATATAATGTCCTTGATACGGTAGGTTTTTCAGAATCCAGGAAAACCCGAAAACCAGCATTCTGAAACCCTAAGCCCTACACCCTGAAGCCCCGAAAAACTCCAGACCCTGAACAAGGAGATCGAGATCTTTCTCGGCCGCGTAAAAGGTGGGAGTTCCGAGGAACTCAGTAACTCTACGTGGGTCTAGGGTTTGGGGTATAGGGTTTAGGGTTTAGGGTTCAGGGTCTAGGACTAGAGTTTAAGCGTATACATGTGGGGTCCCTGTTAGGGTTCTTCACAAGGTTTAGGGCTTGGAGTATAGAGTTTAGGACTTAGCTAAACCATTGGGTCCCTTTTAGGGTTCTTTAAAGGGATCTAGATGCGTTCCTAAAGGGGTTTCTATAAGGGCAGTATATGGGTAGTTCTCCAAGATAGGGTCGTTTTTCAGGTCCCCAAAAAAGTACGGCACTCGAATGAAAAGACATGAAAGGGTCCCTAATTTAGAAACCTAGCTCCCTGGAGGCTCATGGGTAGTAAACGAGGAAGTGCGTGGTCCCCTACTATTAATTAAAGTTATTACAGCACTTATGACTATCCCTGACATTCCGAGTCAGTTAGACCATGCGATCCTGATTAACATACTCTTCCAAGGACAGCAGAAAATTGGATCCCCATCGTCATCCCTTTTAATTGGGGCGGCAGGTTGTTAATCAGAGGTCTACGCTACTAGGAGCCTGAAGGATGTTGAGGGCACCCCGTAACAAGATACTGTGGAAGCCTAAATAATTACCTATACCATTTTGGAGGTTCCTTATTATAACAATACTATACAGGAGCCCAAATCCCTGTTCTAATTCTCAAGGCCCCTGCATTCCTTCTGTTTTCTGAAGCCCCCAGGTGTGGCTCCCCGGCCATCTGCTCAACAACAGCCTGATTTTGTAGCTGGTCCCGAGAAGGCCATCCACTGGTGGCGAGCAAGCAAAGACATTCCACTGGCAGATGAGGTCATGGGAAGCAACTACTTGGTGGCTGAGGATCTTGGTTTAGGGTTTCGGGTTTGGGTTTAGGGTTTAGGATTTAGGGTTTAGGGTTTAGGGTTTAGGGCAACTACTTGGTGGCTGAGGATCTTGGAAAGGAGTCTCGTTGGCAGGGAGGCGAAACTGCCGCCCTTGCACGGGTACAGGAGTATTTGTGGGATCATGACCGGCTTGCCCTGGATTATGTCGGAGCAACATCGGTGACTGGGTTTTAACTTTAACAGCTGCGCAACGCCTTCATCAGGCTTTCCCCATGTTCAGGATCGCAAAGCCAACGGTAGGACCTCCTTGTTATCGTAGCCCAGAAAGGTTCCTTAGCCGCCCTCAACAAGAACGCGGGTGTTGTTTCAAATCCCCAAACCCCATAGAAGCAAGAATATGCCAGGTGAGAAGCTTATACAGAAGCCCTTTAGATGACGAAGCTACTTCGAAGTTGTCCCCCTGGCTTGCTCATGGATGCCTGTCTCCGAGAGTGCTCTACGAGGAGGTCCAGCGCTATGTATCAGCATACCGACAGAGACTGCTTGCTACTGCCCGCGGGAAGCAAGAATATACCCATTCCGGTATTGGGATCAGAAACCCGTACAACGTCTCGCATCGCATCGTGCGCGAACTGCTGTGGCGCGACTTTACACGCTTTGGAAGCATCGAGGCCGGGACTAACATATTCAAGATTGGTGGCCGAGATAAATCTGTTCGTCAGAATTCTGAGGGCCGAAGGAATCCTCAACATCTTCCATCATGGCGCTGGTCCTCCGATCGAGGCTTGCTGCAAGCTTGGATTGATGGTCGTATCTTAGGGGCACTTGGAATCAATGTTCTGTTTTCTTTAATCCTGAAGAGCCGCTAAGACTTCAATTTTTGCAAGGGCACCAAGTTCATCATAGGTACAGGTTTCCCATTTATCGACAGCTCCATGCGAGAACTGAAGGCGACGGGCTATTGCAAGCACATCGGCCGCTTGTGCACTGGATGGTTTCTCATCTCCGACTTAGGAATCGACTGGCGGATGGGAGGAGAGTGGTACGAGTCCATACTTGTCGACTATGAGCCAGCTTTAAACTGGTTCAACTGGGTTTATGGTTGCCTGGAACCTATCAACCCTCATAAAGCCCAAGCGCGAGGGCAGCAACAATGCCGGGAAATATTGGAGGCCGGAATTGTGCATGACCCCGATGCCGCTTACATCAAACGATGGATTCCGGAGCTGTCCCAGCTACCACCACTTCTCGCAAGGGAGCCATGGCGTCTAAATCCAGAGGGCATCCGATGGGCATCAAAGTCGACAAGCCTTCGAAAGATGCCTTTTTTACGGGGCTTCCAGGCTCCGCCTGTGGTGGAGCAAGGTGGAAAAAGGCCAGAAGGATCTGTGGATCACTCTGGTGACACTTCCTTCCCAGGCCTTCAGCTATGGCGAAAGCTGGTCTCATTTCTCCTTCCAAAGTTGTCTGGGCTCTTCCCTGCTCGTCTTTTGCCAAGAGCTGGAGCTTCTCTGCGGTCATTTCGCTATGGCGTGGACTACCCTGAGCCTGTCATCCAGCCGATTTCATTGATGGATGCAGAGAGGGCAGAGGCACAGGTTCGCGCTGCCCGGGCCATTTCCAAGCAGCAACGAGACGAGGAAGTGGCGTGGTTGAAAACAAGATCAAATAGCATCTCACCGCACCGTCTAGTTGGACGTATGAATGTACGTAGATAGGCAGGCAGGCAGGCAGGCAGGCAGGCAGGCAGGCAGGCAGGCAGGTGGGTAGGTGGGT